TTTAGGGGAAAATTGGGAGGTTTTGGGGGAAAATTTGGGGAAAATTTGGGTAAAAATTGGGAATGATTTGGAAAAATTTGGGAAAAATCTGGGTAAAAAAAAAAAATCTGGGGAAAATTGGGAAAAAAAACTTGGGGAAAAATTTTGGAATTTTGGAGGGATTTAGGGGAAAATTGGGAGGTTTTGGGGGAAAATTTGGGGAAAATTTGGGTAAAAATTGGGAATGATTTGGAAAAATTTGGGAAAAATCTGGGTAAAAAAAAAAAATCTGGGGAAAATTGGGAAAAAAAACTTGGGGAAAAATTTTGGAATTTTGGAGGGATTTAGGGGAAAATTGGGAGGTTTTGGGGGAAAATTTGGGGAAAATTTGGGTAAAAATTGGGAATGATTTGGAAAAATTTGGGAAAAATCTGGGTAAAAAAAAAAAATCTGGGGAAAATTGGGAAAAAAAACTTGGGGAAAAATTTTGGAATTTTGGAGGGATTTAGGGGAAAATTGGGAGGTTTTGGGGGAAAATTTGGGGAAAATTTGGGTAAAAATTGGGAATGATTTGGAAAAATTTGGGAAAAATCTGGGTAAAAAAAAAAAATCTGGGGAAAATTGGGAAAAAAAACTTGGGGAAAAATTTTGGAATTTTGGAGGGATTTAGGGGAAAATTGGGAGGTTTTGGGGGAAAATTTGGGGAAAATTTGGGTAAAAATTGGGAATGATTTGGAAAAATTTGGGAAAAATCTGGGTAAAAAAAAAAAATCTGGGGAAAATTGGGAAAAAAAACTTGGGGAAAAATTTTGGAATTTTGGAGGGATTTAGGGGAAAATTGGGAGGTTTTGGGGGAAAATTTGGGGAAAATTTGGGTAAAAATTGGGAATGATTTGGAAAAATTTGGGAAAAATCTGGGTAAAAAAAAAAAATCTGGGGAAAATTGGGAAAAAAAACTTGGGGAAAAATTTTGGAATTTTGGAGGGATTTAGGGGAAAATTGGGAGGTTTTGGGGGAAAATTTGGGGAAAATTTGGGTAAAAATTGGGAATGATTTGGAAAAATTTGGGAAAAATCTGGGTAAAAAAAAAAAATCTGGGGAAAATTGGGAAAAAAAACTTGGGGAAAAATTTTGGAATTTTGGAGGGATTTAGGGGAAAATTGGGAGGTTTTGGGGGAAAATTTGGGGAAAATTTGGGTAAAAATTGGGAATGATTTGGAAAAATTTGGGAAAAATCTGGGTAAAAAAAAAAAATCTGGGGAAAATTGGGAAAAAAAACTTGGGGAAAAATTTTGGAATTTTGGAGGGATTTAGGGGAAAATTGGGAGGTTTTGGGGGAAAATTTGGGGAAAATTTGGGTAAAAATTGGGAATGATTTGGAAAAATTTGGGAAAAATCTGGGTAAAAAAAAAAAATCTGGGGAAAATTGGGAAAAAAAACTTGGGGAAAAATTTTGGAATTTTGGAGGGATTTAGGGGAAAATTGGGAGGTTTTGGGGGAAAATTTGGGGAAAATTTGGGTAAAAATTGGGAATGATTTGGAAAAATTTGGGAAAAATCTGGGTAAAAAAAAAAAATCTGGGGAAAATTGGGAAAAAAAACTTGGGGAAAAATTTTGGAATTTTGGAGGGATTTAGGGGAAAATTGGGAGGTTTTGGGGGAAAATTTGGGGAAAATTTGGGTAAAAATTGGGAATGATTTGGAAAAATTTGGGAAAAATCTGGGTAAAAAAAAAAAATCTGGGGAAAATTGGGAAAAAAAACTTGGGGAAAAATTTTGGAATTTTGGAGGGATTTAGGGGAAAATTGGGAGGTTTTGGGGGAAAATTTGGGGAAAATTTGGGTAAAAATTGGGAATGATTTGGAAAAATTTGGGAAAAATCTGGGTAAAAAAAAAAAATCTGGGGAAAATTGGGAAAAAAAACTTGGGGAAAAATTTTGGAATTTTGGAGGGATTTAGGGGAAAATTGGGAGGTTTTGGGGGAAAATTTGGGGAAAATTTGGGTAAAAATTGGGAATGATTTGGAAAAATTTGGGAAAAATCTGGGTAAAAAAAAAAAATCTGGGGAAAATTGGGAAAAAAAACTTGGGGAAAAATTTTGGAATTTTGGAGGGATTTAGGGGAAAATTGGGAGGTTTTGGGGGAAAATTTGGGGAAAATTTGGGTAAAAATTGGGAATGATTTGGAAAAATTTGGGAAAAATCTGGGTAAAAAAAAAAAATCTGGGGAAAATTGGGAAAAAAAACTTGGGGAAAAATTTTGGAATTTTGGAGGGATTTAGGGGAAAATTGGGAGGTTTTGGGGGAAAATTTGGGGAAAATTTGGGTAAAAATTGGGAATGATTTGGAAAAATTTGGGAAAAATCTGGGTAAAAAAAAAAAATCTGGGGAAAATTGGGAAAAAAAACTTGGGGAAAAATTTTGGAATTTTGGAGGGATTTAGGGGAAAATTGGGAGGTTTTGGGGGAAAATTTGGGGAAAATTTGGGTAAAAATTGGGAATGATTTGGAAAAATTTGGGAAAAATCTGGGTAAAAAAAAAAAATCTGGGGAAAATTGGGAAAAAAAACTTGGGGAAAAATTTTGGAATTTTGGAGGGATTTAGGGGAAAATTGGGAGGTTTTGGGGGAAAATTTGGGGAAAATTTGGGTAAAAATTGGGAATGATTTGGAAAAATTTGGGAAAAATCTGGGTAAAAAAAAAAAATCTGGGGAAAATTGGGAAAAAAAACTTGGGGAAAAATTTTGGAATTTTGGAGGGATTTAGGGGAAAATTGGGAGGTTTTGGGGGAAAATTTGGGGAAAATTTGGGTAAAAATTGGGAATGATTTGGAAAAATTTGGGAAAAATCTGGGTAAAAAAAAAAAATCTGGGGAAAATTGGGAAAAAAAACTTGGGGAAAAATTTTGGAATTTTGGAGGGATTTAGGGGAAAATTGGGAGGTTTTGGGGGAAAATTTGGGGAAAATTTGGGTAAAAATTGGGAATGATTTGGAAAAATTTGGGAAAAATCTGGGTAAAAAAAAAAAATCTGGGGAAAATTGGGAAAAAAAACTTGGGGAAAAATTTTGGAATTTTGGAGGGATTTAGGGGAAAATTGGGAGGTTTTGGGGGAAAATTTGGGGAAAATTTGGGTAAAAATTGGGAATGATTTGGAAAAATTTGGGAAAAATCTGGGTAAAAAAAAAAAATCTGGGGAAAATTGGGAAAAAAAACTTGGGGAAAAATTTTGGAATTTTGGAGGGATTTAGGGGAAAATTGGGAGGTTTTGGGGGAAAATTTGGGGAAAATTTGGGTAAAAATTGGGAATGATTTGGAAAAATTTGGGAAAAATCTGGGTAAAAAAAAAAAATCTGGGGAAAATTGGGAAAAAAAACTTGGGGAAAAATTTTGGAATTTTGGAGGGATTTAGGGGAAAATTGGGAGGTTTTGGGGGAAAATTTGGGGAAAATTTGGGTAAAAATTGGGAATGATTTGGAAAAATTTGGGAAAAATCTGGGTAAAAAAAAAAAATCTGGGGAAAATTGGGAAAAAAAACTTGGGGAAAAATTTTGGAATTTTGGAGGGATTTAGGGGAAAATTGGGAGGTTTTGGGGGAAAATTTGGGGAAAATTTGGGTAAAAATTGGGAGATATTTGGGGGAAATTTGGGAAAAAACGGGGAATTTAAGAGGAAAAAAATTTGGGAATTAATAGAAAAAAATTTGGGAAAATTTGGTGAAAAAATGAGGAATTTAAGGGGAAAAAATGGGAAATTTTTGGGATTATTTGGGTAAAATTTGGGAAAAAATTGGGGAAATTTTGGGGAAAATTGGGGAGAAAATGGGGAATTTAAGGGTAAAGAATTGGAAATTTTGGGGATAATTTGGGAAAAAATGTGGAAAAAGATTGTAGGAAAAATGAGGAAAATTGGAAAAATTTAGGGGTAAAGATGGGGAAAAATGGGGAAGAAATGGGGAATTTAAGGAGAAAAAAAATGGGGAAAAAATTGGGAATTAAAGGAAAAAAAAGTGGAAAATTTGGGAAAAAATCGAGAAATTTAGGGGGAAAAAGAAAAAATTTGGGGAATTTAGAGGCAAAAAATTGGGGGAAAATTTGAGGAATGTAGGGGGAAAATTCAGAAAAATTTGGGAATTATTTAGCGGGAGCTTGGGGGAAAATTTGGGAATATATTGGGGAAATTTGGGGAAAAAATTGGGAATATTTTGGGGGAATTGGAGGAAAATTGGGTAAAAAAATCTGGGAAATTTGGGGGGAAAAACGGGGAAAATTTGGGTAAAAATTGGGAAATATTTGGGGGAAATTTGGGAAAAAATGGGGAATTTAAGAGAAAGAAAATTTGGGAAAATTTGGTGAAAAAATGCTGAAAATCAGGGAAAAAATGAGGAATTTAAGGGGAAAAAATGGGGAAAAAATGGGGAAAAAATGGGGAAAAAATGGGAATTTTTTGGGATTATTTGGGTAAAATTTGGGAAAAAATAGGGGAAATTTTGGGGAAAAGGGGGAATTGTTTAGCATGAGTTTGGGGGAAAATTTGGGAATATTTTGGGGAAATTTGGGGAAAAAATTGGGAATATTTTGGGGGAATTGGAGGAAAATTGGGTAAAAAAATCTGGGAAATTTGGGGGGGAAAATGGGGAAAATTTGGGTAAAAATGGGGAATTTAAGGGTAAAAAATGGGAAAAGATTGGGAATATTTTGGGATAAGTTGGGGGGAATTTTGGAAAATTTCAAAGGGAATTTGGGTCAAAAATGAGGAATTTAAGGCAGAAAATCCCCCAAAAATTGGGGAAAAAATGGGAAATTTTGGGGACAAATTTGGGGAAATTTTTTGGGGGGAATATCAGGGAAAAAGTGGGAATTTTCAAGGGAATTTGGGTGAAAAATGAGGATTTTAAGGTAGGAAATCCCCCAAAAAATTGGGTAAAAAATGGGGATTTTTGGGAATTTGGATTTTTTGGGAATTTGGGGGTGGAATTTTGGGAATTTGGGGGTGAAATTATGGGATGGAATTTCCGAATTTTCACCTTCCTCCCACAGGTCCAGCTCCTGCACCAACTCCTGCACCGGGAGGCTTCGCTCGTGCCCGCGGCAAATCCGGGAATTTTTTGGGAATTCCTGGAAAAAAAACCCCAAAAATATTCCAAATTTACCTAAATTTTAAATTTTTCCCCCATTTCCCCCAAAATTCTCTAAATTTCCCCCAATTTTTCCCCAAAAATTCTTGAATTTTTCTTCAAATTTTCCTCATTTTTTCCTAAACTTCCCAATTTTTTCCCTCCAAATTCACCAGATTGTTCCAATTTTCCCCAAATTTTCCCCAATTTTCCCCAATATATTCCCGGATTTTTCGATTTCCCAATTTTTACCCAAATTTCCCCCCTTTTTTCCCATAAAATTCCAGAACTTTCCCCCAATTTTTTCTCAACTATTCCCCAATTTTCCCCAAATTTTTTACCCAATTTTATTCCCAAATTTTCCTTATTTTCCCCCTAAATTCCCCAAATTTTCTCCCAAAATGTCACCCATTTTCCCCCTAAATTTTCTCAATTTTTGCCTTAAATTCCCCAAAAAATTCCCCAAATTTTCTCCCAAATATTCCCAAATTTTCCCCCAAATTGTCATCATTTTTCCATTACATTTCCCAATTTTTATACAAAGATTCCCAAATTTCCCCCAAATTTTTCCCCAAATTTCCTTCATTTTTTCCTTAAGTTCCCAAATTCCCCCCAATATTCCCCAATTTTCCCCATTTTTTAAATGTTTTCCCCAATTTTAAAATTTTTCCCCCTTTCCCCCCAAAATTTTCCCAATTTTTCCCTTAAAAATCCCAATTTTTTCTTCATATTTTCCCCCATTCTTTTCTCAAATTTCTACCAATTTTTCCCAAATTTTTCCCAAATTTCCTCAACTATTTACCAATTTTTTTCTCAAGTTTTCTTCAAATGCCCCCACATTAAAAAAAAATTTCTCTAATTTTTTACCTAAATTTTCCACCAAATTTCCCCGTTTTTTCCCAAAATTTCCCCAATTTTCACACCAATTTTCCCCAAAAATTTCCCCAAAATTTTCTTCATTTTTCCATTAAATTCCCCAAATATTCACCACAAAATTTTCCCAAATTTTTCCCAATTTTTTGCCAGAATTTTCCAAAAATTTCCCCATTTTCCCGCTATTATTCCCCAAATTTTGCCTTAAATTCCCCAAATTTTCCCTGATTTTCCCCTAAATTTTCTCATTTTTTTCTCAAATTTTTGCCCAAGATTTCCCCAAATTTTCCCATTTTTTCACCAAACTCCCCAATTCTTTTCCCAAAAATCCCTCCCCAATTGTTCCCCAAATTTTCTCAAATTTTCAATTTTTTGCCCAAATTTCACAATTTTTCCCAGATTTTCATCCCAATTTTTCACCCCAATTTTTTCTCAAATATTTCCCAAATATTACCCAAAATTTCCCCCCAAAATTCCCATTTTTTTTCCCAATTTCCCCCCAGATTTTTTCTCAAATATTCCCCAATTTTTTTCCCAGATTTTCTTCCAAATATTCCCCAATTTTTCACCTCAAATTTTCCCATTTTTTTCTCCAAATTCCCCCAATTTTTCCCCAAATTCTCCCCCAAAAATCCCAATTTTCCCTCCTTTTAAATCCCATTTTTTTCTCTTTATTCCGACCCAAACCTGGGAATTTTCCGGAATTTTTCCGTGAATTTCCCGACATTTGCAAGGAGCGAAAACTTTTTGGATCAAAGTCTTGACCACCCAAAAATCCACGGAATTTTCATGGATGTGACGCCGAAATTCCAAATAATCCTCTTCCTGTTAAAAAAAAAAAAAATTAAATTCATTCCAAAATCCCAATTTTTGGGAATTTTTCCCCAAAAAAGTCCCCCCAAAATTGGCCAAAATTCCACCAAAATTCAAATTTTTCCCCTCAAAATTTTAATTTTTAAAAATATTTCCAGCCTCAAAATCCCCCAAAATTTTCTTATTTTGTGCCTAAAAGTCCCAATTTTACACAAATTTTCCTGAAATTCAAAATTTTGCCCCAAATTTTCCTGGAATTTCCAAATTTCCGCTCAGATTTTTCCAATTTTCCACACAAATTTTCATAAAATTTTCCCAATTTTTTCCCATTTTTACCCAAGTTTTTCTGTGGCATTTTCCCAATTTTTCTGGTTTTTTTCCATTATTTCTGTAATTTTTTCCACTTTTTATCCCATTTTTACCCCAAATTTTCTCAGATTTTCCCCAATTTTTTCCCTGATTTTTTCCCATCTTCCCCTCAATTTTTCTGTGTTTATTTCCCATTTTTCCCCCGTTTTTTCCCCCGTTTTTTCCCTAATTTTTCTCCTATGTTATCCCAATTTTCCCCCCAATTTTTCTGCAAATTTTTCCAAATTTTCCCCCTTTTTTTCCCAATTTTTCCCAGATTATTTCCTGATTTTCCCCTAATTTTTCCCAAGTTTTCTGTGATTTTATTTTATTTTTCCCTAATTTTTCCCCCATTTTTCTCATTTTCCACCCAAATTTTCTCCAATTTTTCCCAAATTTCCCTCAATTTTTTCCCAATTCCTTTCCATTTTTACCCCACCTTTTCTGTGATTTTTCCCAATTTCCCCTCAATTTTTCTCAATTTTTTCCCCATTTTTCCCCTAGTTTTTCTCCAATTTTCCCATATTTTTCTCAGATTTTCCCAATTTTTCCCCAGCTTTTCCCCAACTTTCCCCCATTTTTCTCTTATTTTTTCCCAATTTTTTGCCCAAATTTTCTCCAATTTTTCTACCAATTTTTTCCTAATTTTTGACCCATTTTCCCCCAATTTTTCTCTGATTTTTTCCCATTTTACCCCAATTTTTCTGCGATTTCCCCCCAGTTTCTCCCAATTCTTCCCCCAATATCCCTGATTCTTTCACATATTTTTCCCAATTTTCCCCCATTTTTCCCCAATTTTTCTCTGATTTTTCCGAATTTTACCCCATTTTTACCATAATTTCTTCCAATTTTCCCATATTTTTTTGATTTTTCTCAAATTTTCCACCGTTTTTCCCCCAATTTTTCTCTGATGTTTTCCCTATTTTTACCCTAATTTCTTCCAATTTTCCCATATTTTTCTCCAATTTTTTCTCTAATTTTCCCCAATTTTTCTCAATTTTTCCCATTTTTTCTCAGATTTTTCCCAATTTTTCCTCCATTTTTCCTCATTTTTTCCTCCATTTTTTCTCAGATTTTCCACAATTTTCCTCAAATTTTTCTCCAATTTTCCCCCCATTTTTTCCCAATTTTACCTCCACTTTTCTCAGATTTTCCCCAATTTTTTGTCCATTTTTTGTTAGATTTTCCCCATTTTTCCCCCATTTTTTCTCCGATTTCCCCCAATTTTTCCTCAATTTTTTCTCTGATTTTTCCTCCATTATTTCTCCAATTTTCCCCTTTTTTCACCGATTTTCCCCAATTTTTCCCCTCCATTTTTTCTGATTTTTCTCCAATCTTCCCCATTTTTCCTCCATTTTTTCTCCAATTTTCTCCAATTTTTTCCCCATTTTTTCTCTGATTTTTCTCAAATTTCTCCCATTTTTTCCCCGATTTTCCCCAATTTTTCCCACATTTTTTCTCCGATTATTCTCCTATCTTCCCCATTTTTCCTCCATTTTTTCTCCGATCTTCCCCAATTTCCCCCCCATTTTTCCTCCAATTTTTCCCCCATTTTTCCTACATTTTTTCTCAGATTTTTCCCCATTTTTCCCCATTTTTCCTCCGATTTTTCCCAATTTCCCCCAATTTTCCCTTCATTTTCCTCTGATTTTTCTCCAGTTTTCCCCCATTTTTCCCTCCATTTTTCTCCGATTTTTCCCCAATTTTTCCCCCATTTTTTCTCTGATTTTTCCCAATTTTCCCCCATTTTCAACCTAATTTTTCTCCAATTTTCCCAATTTTTCCACAATTTTTCTCCGATTTTCCCCAATTTTCCCTCCATTTTTTCTCCAATTTTTACCAATCTTTCCCCCATTTTTTCTGTGATTTTCCCCCAATTTTTCTCCAATTTTACCTCCATTTTTTCTCCGATTTTTCCCCAACTTTCCCCCATTTTTCCCCAATTTTTCTCCGATTTTCCCCAATTTTCCCACAAATTTTTCTTATTTTTTTCCCATTTTTACCCTAATTTTTCTCCAATTTTACCCATTTTTTCTCAGATTTTACCCAATTTTCCCTCCATTTTTTCCTAATTTTTCCCAAATTTTTCCCCCAATTTTTCTCCAATTTTCCCTCCATTTTTTCCTAATTTTTCTCCAATTTTCCCCAATTTTTTCTCCAATTTCCCCAATTTTTCCCCCATTTTTTCCCGATTTTTCCCAATTTTCCCCCATTTTCAGCCTAATTTTTCTCCAATTTTCCCCATTTTTTCTCCTAATTTTTCTCCAATTTTCCCCAATTTTTCCCGATTTTTCCCAATTTTCCCCCATTTTCAGCCTAATTTTTCTCCAATTTTCCCCATTTTTTCTCCGATTTTTCCCCGATTTTTCCCAATTTTCCCTCCATTTTTTCCTAATTTTTCCCCAATTTTCCCCCCAATTTTTCCCCAATTTTCCCCATTTTTTCTCAGATTTTTCCCAATTTTTCCCCAATTTTCTCTCCATTTTTTCCTAATTTTTGCCCATTTTTTCCCCCAATTTTTCTCCAATTTTCCCCATTTTTTCTCCGATTTTTCCCAATTTTTCCCCAATTTTCCCTCCATTTTTTCCTAATTTTTCCCCAATTTTCCCCCCAATTTTTCCCCAATTTTCCCCATTTTTTCTCCGATTTTTCCCAATTTTTCCCCAATTTTCCCTCCATTTTTTCATAATTTTTCCCCAATTTTTCTCCCATTTTTTCTCCGATTTTTCTCCCATTTTTTCTCCGATTTTTCCCAATTTTCCCTCCATTTTTTCCTAATTTTTCCCCAATTTTTCCCCCATTTTTTCTCCAATTTTACCCATTTTTTCTCTGATTTTCCCCAATTTTCCTCTAATTTTTCCCAATTTTTCTCTGATTTTTCCCCCATTATTTCCCTGATTTTCCCCATTTTTTCCCCAATTTTCCCTCCATTTTTTCCTAATTTTTCCCCATTTTTTCCCCCAATTTTTCTCCAATTTTCCCCATTTTTTCTCCAATTTCCCCAATTTTTCCCCAATTTTTCTCCGATTTTTCCCAAATTTCCCTCCATTTTTTCCTAATTTTTCCTCAATTTTTCCCCCATTTTTTCTCCGATTTTCCCCAATTTTTTCTCCAATTTTTCTCAAATTTTTCCCAATTTTTCCCAATTTTCCCTCCATTTTTTCCTAATTTTTCCCCAATTTTTCCCCCATTTTTTCTCCAATTTTCCCCATTTTTTCTCCGATTTTTCCCAATTTTCCCTCCATTTTTTCCTAATTTTTCCCCAATTTTTCCCCCAATTTTCCCCATTTTTTCTCAGATTTTTCCCAATTTTTCCCCAATTTTCCCTCCATTTTTTCCTAATTTTTCCCCATTTTTTCCCCCATTTTTTCTCCAATTTTACCCAATTTTTCTCCGATTTTTCCCAATTTTCCCTCCATTTTTTCCTAATTTTTCCTCAATTTTCCCCCCATTTTTTCTCCGATTTTCCCCAATTTTTTCTCCAATTTTTCTCAAATTTTTCCCAATTTTTCCCCCATTTTTTCTCCGATTTTCCCCAATTTTTCCTCCATTTTTTCTCCAATTTTTCTCAATTTTTCCCCAATTTTCCCCATTTTTTCTCAGATTTTTCCCAATTTTCCCCCAATTTTCCCTCCATTTTTTCCTAATTTTTCCCCAATTTTTCCCCCAATTTTTCTCCAATTTTCCCCATTTTTTCTCCGATTTTTCCCAATTTTCCCTCCATTTTTTCCTAATTTTTCCCCAATTTTTCCCCCAATTTTTCCCCAATTTTCCCCATTTTTTCTCAGATTTTTCCCAATTTTTCCCCAATTTTCCCTCCATTTTTTCCTAATTTTCCCCCATTTTTTCCCCCAATTTTTCTCCAATTTTCCCCATTTTTTCTCCAATTTTCCCAATTTTTCCCCAATTTTTCTCTGATTTTTCCCAATTTTCCCTCCATTTTTTCCTAATTTTTCCCCAATTTTCCCCATTTTTTCTCAGATTTTTCCCAATTTTTCCCCAATTTTCCCTCCATTTTTTCCTAATTTTTCCCCATTTTTTCCTCCATTTTTTCTCAATTTTTCCCATTTTTTCTCCAATTTTCCCAATTTTTCCCCAATTTTTCTCCGATTTTTCCCCAATTTCCCTCCATTTTTTCCTAATTTTTCCTCAATTTTCCCCCCATTTTTTTCTCCGATTTTCCCCAATTTTTTCTCCAATTTTTCTCAAATTTTTCCCAATTTTTCCCCCATTTTTTCTCCAATTTTTCCCTAATTTTTCCTCCATTTTTTCTCAAATTTTTCCCAATTTTTCCCCCATTTTTTCTCCGATTTTCCCCAATTTTTCCTCCATTTTTTCTCCAATTTTTCTCAATTTTCCCCAATTTTTCTCCAATTTTCCCCCATTTTTCCCCACATTTTTCCCTGATTTCTCCCCCATGTTTCCCGGTGCGCCCGTCGCGGCCGGCGCGGCCGCAGCGCTGCAGGAAGCTCTCGGCGCAGCTCCTCCGCTTTTTACCATTTCTCCATGATTTTCCCCCATTTTTCCTCCATTTTTTCTCCGATTTTCCCCAATTTTTCCTCCAATTTTTGTCAAATTTTTCCCAATTTTTCCCCCATTTTTTCTCCGATTTTTCCCTATTTTCCCTCAATTTTTTCCTAATTTTTCCCCAATTTTCTCCCCAATTTTTCTCTAATTTTCCCCATTTTTTCTCTGATTTTCCCCAATTTTCCTCCAATTTTTCTCTGATTTTTCCCCCATTTTTTCCCTGATTTTCCCCAATTTTTCTCCCAATTTTCCCCCATTTTTCCCCCATTTCTCCATGATTTTCCCCCAATTCCCACCTTGGCTCTCAGGCAGAGGCGGCACCGCCCGTCGCTGCCGCAGCGCTGCAGGAAGCTCTGGGCGCAGCTCCCTCCGCTTTTTACCATTTCCCCCAGATTTTCCCCCAATTCCTACCTTGGCTCTCAGGCAGACGTGGCACCTCGCGGCGTGCCCGCAGCGCTGCAGGAAGCTCTGGGCGCAGCTCCCTCCACTTTTTACCATTTCTCCCTGATTTTCCCCCAATTTTCCCCCATTTTCCCACCTTGGCTCTCAGGCAGACGTGGCACCTCGCGGCGTGCCCGCAGCGCTGCAGGAAGCTCTGGGCGCAGCCGGGCGCGCCGGCGTGCAGCACTCCGCGCAGCTCCCTCCACTTTTTACCATTTCTCCCTGATTTTCCCCCGATTTTCCCCCATTTCCCCACCTTGGCTCTCAGGCAGACGTGGCAGCGCCCGTCGCGGCCGCAGCGCTGCAGGAAGCTCTGGGCGCAGCTCCCTCCCGTTTTTTACCATTTCTCCATGATTTTTACCCAATTTTTACTCCAATTCTTCTCCGATTTTTCTCAGTTTTCCCCCCATTTTTTCGCTAATTTTTCCCAATTTTCCCCCATTTTCAGGCAAATTTTTCTCCAATTTTTTCTCCATTTTTTCTCCGATTTTTGTCCAATTTTACCCATTTTTTCTCTGATTTTTCCCAATTTTCCCTCCATTTTTTCCTAATTTTTCCCCAATTTTTCCCCCATTTTTCCGCAATTTTCCCCATTTTTTCTCCAATTTTTCCCAATTTTTCTCCGATTTTTCCCAATTTTCCCTCCATTTTTTCCTAATTTTTCCCCAATTTTTCCCCCATTTTTTCTCCAATTTTACCCATCTTTTCTCCGATTTTTCCCTATTTTCCCTCCATTTTTTCCTAATTTTTCCCCAATTTTCCTCCATTTTTTCTCTGATTTTCCTCAATTTGTCGTCCATTTTTTCTCAATTTTTCCCATTTTTTCCCCCATTTTTTCTCCGATTTTTCTCCTATCTTCCCCATTTCTCCTCCAATTTTTCTCCAATTTGTTTCCCAATTTTCCTCCGATTTTCCTCCATTTTTCCCCCATTTTCCCACCTGTGCTCGCAGGCAGACGTGGCACCTCGCGGCGTGCCCGCAGCGCTGCAGGAAGCTCTGGGCGCAGCTCCCTCCACTTTTTACCATTTCTCCATGATTTTCCCCCAATTCCCACCTTGGCTCTCAGGCAGACGTGGCAGCGCCCGTCGTGCCCGCAGCGCTGCAGGAAGCTCTGGGCGCAGCTCCCTCCTCTTTTTACCATTTCTCCACCATCTTCCCCCATTTTTCCTCCATTTTTTCTCAGATTTTTCCCAATTTTCCCTCCATTTTTTCCTAATTTTTCCCCAATTTTTCCCCCAATTTTTCTCCAATTTTCCCCAATTTTTCCCCCATTTTTTCTCCGATTTTCCCCAATTTTTCCTCCAATTTTGTCAAATTTTTCCCAATTTTTCCCCCATTTTTTCTCCAATTTTCCCCAATTTTTCCCAATTTTTCTCCGATTTTTCCCAATTTTCCCCCAAATTTTCCCCCAATTTTTCTCCAATTTTCCCCCATTTTTTCTCCAATTTTCCCCATTTTTTCCCCGATTTTTCCCAATTTTCCAACCATTTTTTCCTAATTTTTCCCCAAATTTTCCCCCAATTTTTCTCCAATTTTCCCCCATTTTTTCTGTGATTTTCCCCCAATTTTTCTCCAATTTTACCTCCATTTTTTCTCCGATTTTTCCCCAATTTTCCCCGATTTTCCCTCCATTTTTTCCCACCTTGGCTCTCAGGCAGACATGGCACCGCCCGTCGTGCCCGCAGCGCTGCAGGAAGCTCTGGGTGCAGCTCCCTCCACTTTTTACCATTTCCCCATGATTTTCCCCCAATTTCCCACCTTGGCTCTCAGGCAGACGTGGCACCTCGTGGTGCGGCCGCAGCGCTGCAGGAAGCTCTGGGCGCAGCTCCCTCCTCTTTTTCCCATTTCCCCCCATTTTTCCCCCAATTCCCACCTTGGCTCTCAGGCAGACGTGGCAGTGCCCGTCGTGCCCGCAGCGCTGCAGGAAGCTCTGGGCGCAGCTCCCTCCTCTTTTTCCCATTTCCCCATGATTTTCCCCCAATTCCCACCTTGGCTCTCAGGCAGACGTGGCAGCGCCCGTCGTGCCCGCAGCGCTGCAGGAAGCTCTGGGCGCAGCCGGGCGCGCCGGCGTGCAGCACTCGGCGCAGCGCTGCGGGCGCCGTCCCCGGCCCCAGCGCGGCCATGGCGCACACGGCGCCGTTGCCGCCGAAGCGCAGCCAGCGCCGGATCCGCCGCCGCGCCGCCGCGCTCAGCCCCGCGTGGTACGCCACCGCCCGGAACCCCTCCTCTTCCCCTGGAAAAAAACAAAATTATCCACAAAATCCCGGTGGGTTACAGACTTCTCCAAAATATCCCAAATCCACCCCGGAATTCCGAAACGTTTCTCTGATTTTTCCCACAAAATTCCTCCATTGTTTCCCCAAAAGTCACAATTTTTCCCCCACAGGTTCCCTCATTTTTCCTGCAAATTCCCCGCAAATTTCAAAATTTTTCCCCCGATTTTCCACCAAATTCCTCAAATTTCCCCAAAATTCCTCACTTTTCCCCCCAAATTTCAACAATTTTTCACCCAAAATCCACAATTTTCCCCCAATTTTCTCCCACAAGTTCCCTCATTTTTCCCCCCAAAATTCCTCAATTTTTTTCCCCGAAAGTCACAATTTCCCCCCGATTTTCCACCAAATTCCTCAAATTTCCCGCCAAAATTCCTCAATTTTTCCCCCTGATTTTCCCCCACAAGTTCCGTCATTTTTACCCCAAAATTCGTCAATTTTTTCAACCAAAAGTCACAATTTTCCCCCCACAGGTTCCCTCATTTTCCCCACAAATTTCTCCCCAAAATTCAAAGTTTTTCCCCGATTTTCCCCCAAATTCCATAACTTTCCCCCCAAAATTCAACAATTTTTCACCCAAAATCCACAATTTTCCCCCAATTTTCTCCCACAAGTTCCATCATTTTCCCCCCCAAAATTCCTCAATTTTTTTCCCCAAAAGTCACAATTTCCCCCCGATTTTCCACCAAATTCCTCAAATTTCCC